ATTCTCTCTCTCTCTCTCTCTCTCTCTCTCTGTTCCTTTCCCCCAACCCCCACTCAAATGTGCATGCTCTCTCTCTCTCAAATCAATAAAAATTAAATTTAGAACATATGTTTAGCATTTAAAATCACCATGCTACAAATACCAAGGAATAAATTTCTAAAGGTGGAATTTCAAGAAATACTGTAAAGAGGAAGTGAGACAGTTTTGGACAAGGAAGATCTTATTCTATTTTGTGAATATTTACTCCCCTCCTCTGTGGTAAGATCACTATTTTCCACCAGTGATTAAGAATCGAAATTGAATTGAAAGCATGGTACTATAAGATCAGACAACCACAAGGTACTTAAACTCACCAGGCTGAATGGAATTGAGGCTGAATGGGATCTCAAATTATTACTGTGTTTCACTTGGCCAACTCTGTCCTGCTGATGGTGGCACTCTAACTACTGTGGGAATCCAGGATCATATCGTGTCTGGAATCAGCAAATTTGCCAGGCTAAGTATCCAGTTCCTTGCCACAGACCCTTGTGGTAATGAGTGTGGGAGGAGGAAGGCTGACTCAAGAAGTCTCTCTAGACCCCAGTTAGACACATTTCAGAGAAAGTAAGTTGCCAACAGTCAAATCTTTAGATTTCAAAAGAAATCCAAGGTTGTTAAAAAGCAACTGTTTTGAAAAAGGGGTGGAGGGGATTAAACTAAGTTTTTTGTTTTGTTTTTGTTTATTTTTTTTTTTTTTATTTTGGTTGCTTACAAACAGAAAGAGTGTTAACCTGTGATTATCAGGGTAACTTTACCTACTGCTTTACTCAGCAGTAAGCAATCTGTAGCCTTTTCATGTGTTTTCATAAGCATACAAAATGACCTCTGGCAAGAGAATGGAAGAAGAGACTTGATGTTCCTCTGAGGGCCTTCAAACTACACTGGTAGGAAGCTGGTAGGTCTGTCTAGGAAGCTGTTGTGGGGTGGGGATGGCATTTGTCTACTGAATCTAGGAGTCTGGGTATTGCTGTAGTGGGTGGAGGGTGGAGCACTGAAGGGCTACATCTGTTCTGACCTTAATTGGGTCTCGCTGAGATTCAAACATGAGTGGTCAACCAAGGGGCTGTGTTTGTGGAAAGTCTATTTGCATGAAAAACTAAGGACACTGCCTGGGCAGAGCAGGGCATACAGGCACTTTGGTCAAGGTAAAAAAAAAAAATCTTTAGTTATAAAAGGGCAGAGGTGCTTCTGAATACAGCAGGAGTCCAGACTTGACTTCGAGCTCATCCCGAGTGTCTTAAGTCCCATTCTGGGAGGGAGGGCTCCAGAGTCTAGCTTTCCCCTGCAACAGGCTTTTGGATGAAAAAAAAGGGAGAGGAGATGCTCCAATACAGACTTGGCAACTTCTTCTTTTCTCAAGTCATTTAAAAACACATATACCATCTAATATTACCATACTTTAAGAGAAGGAAATTTTAAAAGAAATATGTAACAAAACAAATTTAACTTAAAACTTGAATTACTTTTGACTATAAAAAACTCTGAAAGATGATAACTGTAAAACAGCTTATAGTAAGACAGAGTAGGGACTGACTTGGGCTCCTCACCCCTGACCATGAAATCTAGCTTTCCTTGATAGCTGACACTCTGTTTCTTGAGTAGCATATCTGGGAGGATTGTGGAAGCAGAATGATTATGTAAAGGAGAGGCTGAACTATAAACACTGGGGAAGATGGAACCAAACTAGTCTGGCCCATGTGGACCTTACTTCTGACTTTTCACCAAATTTCCCCCTCGTTACAATACTAAAAATCATTCTAATGATTTAACATGGGTAGAGATTTAACATGCTAATTAGATGTGCAACACATGAAGAAGCAAAATCTTTAAGTGTGCAAGCACCAAGAAATCCCTGGCTTTACATGCTTCAATGTCACTTCTTTCTCTCTCTTTAAAAAGTTTCCCTGGCCTATGTTAGGGGAATCAGCCTGAAAGACTCTTTCCTTTGTGTTGTCTCCCTTGTGCTCCAGAATAAGCCTCAATAAAAGTTTTGCCTGGAGCTCCCCTTTGGCCTCTAGTTAATTTCTACTGTTTAGAGAGCCCATGGACCCCAAGTGGGTGACACTAGGAAAAACTCCCCTCCACCATGTTGCAACTACTTATCCCTTTTATTCTGTTTCTTCATCACTGCTTACTCCCTGCCTCTGGTTTTCTACCACACAGAGAGGCCACCAGTGTTTACAACCACCCTTTCTTCTTAATTACATCAACATGGTAGGGGATGGATCAGCTATGGTCTTGGGGGGTGGTGAAGTGGGGGAAGCATGTAGAGCTTCAGACACTCAGGCTGAGAGTGAGGCCCAGGAGGGCAGGGGTTTTGTCTTGTTTTCCACTATATGCCACCCCCATCCTGAAAACAAGGCCTGAAATGTACAGGTGTTCAGTTAACGTTTACTGAACCAATGAATGAAATACAGGCAAGGTACATACAGGTTATACTGTAATACACCACTAATGACAATGAGGTAGTAGTCACTGCTCTTACTGGAGGTAATGACAACATTTCACAAATCATTAAATACTAAACCTCTTTGCAGAAATCTGAGAGGGGGAAAAATTGATAATACACCATCCTAACCCAGCAATCATTATACTTCTGTTCCTACTCTTCTTAGTGCTTTACAATATGCATTTAAAATATATTTGTAATCAGAAAACTTTGGATAGGAAATATGGCACTTATTTTTCAAAAGAACCAATCTCCTTTACCTACAAGACATCACTTAAAACAAACATAAGTGACATTGCCTAAGTAAGTATGAAATAACCTTTGGTAGTATATGTAAGTGCATGTAGTATAAGTCATAGAATACTTACTGGTTAAGGAGGTATAACACATGTATTCTCTTGCTCACTTCTACTGTGTTTCAATATCTCATATCTGCAAAATGAGAGGATTCATGGGAGATTCATAATTTCAAGTCTTCTTAAAGTCTGAAGTTTAAAGATTTCTAAAAAAGATGTTATTGTTTTACATTGATTGTAAAGTAGCTTAAAAATACAATATTTATGCATATAACTATATACTTATATATAACAGTAAATATTAACTCAAATATGAGAGCTCCTTCCATGCAGAAATAGATTTTAGAAACTCACATAGACTATTTCTTTTTTTAAAAAATATAATTTATTGTCAAATTGGTTTCCATACAACACCCAGTGCTCATCCCAACAAGTGCCCTCCTCCCTGCCCATCACCCACTTTCCCGTCTCCCCCACCCCCCATCTACCCTTAGTTTGTTGTCCTTAATAAGGAGTGTTAAAGAGACTATTTCTAACATTTCGGGACTACTTTATATCTGGAGGGACAGCGGTAAGTAATTTCACTTAACTAGAAAGATTGATTATTGGTAAAGTCCCAGAGGTAAATCTTTACCCTTATAAACCAATAAAACAAAATTAATTTAAAAAAATTGACAACATACCAACTAAGAGTAATCCAAGGGACAGAGCGAGGATAAAACATTAATTAGCACAGAAATGGGATAAAGAAAAATCTATCATATGCTGCTACATAGAGTAGGGTAAAGCAGCAAATTCTTCCATGCAGTAGAATTCAGGATCAACCCTCTCCCCCACTTTCTGTTTTTCTAAAGACCAAATCACTTCCTCGGGAAGATATAACTTAGTGGCTGGATGATTATTTCATTAAGCTAGGTCTTTTGGAGGCAACAGAATTGCTTTGAATTGAAGCTTAATCTCCAGTGCTACTATCCCCAGGCAAGTGGGATTGGCAGGACTAGGAAGGTTTAAGGCGATGCCTTCAAAAATGGCAAAAATGCATCTGCTGTGGAGATTAAGCTTCTGTTGAAACTTTATTATTATTATTAATTTCTGTTGAAATAATAGCCTAAATTAGTCACAATTTCAGAAGAAGCATAGGTAACTCGTGCTGCATAGAAGTATATGAAAACTGCTTCCTAGCCTGAAAGCCTAAACTGAATTCGCACTAGAAGACACAATCCAGGATTTCCAAGGTACCTCAAGAAAGAATGAGCACCTGAGACTCTTTAGGAGCCCCGGATCGCACAAGTCTTCTGGCATCAAACGCCGAGATATTGACCCGCACTTGTTAATCATGTTAATAAGCGTAATCACCCTATCATGCTGCAGTTCATCTACATGATAGCGACTTTCCCACCGCAAGTCGCTGGCAGGCAATACATCCCTGCAGCCAGCTTGGCCTCTGGCAAGGACGTCGGGGAAGTCTCGGGTTCCGCCTCCCAAACCAGCCAGAAGGCTTGTCCCCAGCACTCACCACGGTCTCGTGCTGCCCCCTGCCGGGCTCTTCTCTTTGGGTTTACGCCACGCGGCCGCCGGGGGGCGCAAGGAAGGCGACGTCACCTGTGCGCGACCGGAAGTTAGCCTGTTCATTTCCGCTCTTTAGTTCCCTCCCCAGACCCGGAAGTAAAGGCATCTGGCGAATATTGGTACTGTCCAGTTTGAGGTCTGTGGCTAGCTGGGCCTGTACCTTTTCTTTTTAGAAGCGGGGTTGGGTGATACTGATGTACGGTGGAGTCTTCATTCCTCGCCACCCCTGGGGGAGTTGATTTTGGGGAGGCAGAGGGGAAGAATCCATGGAATGGAACCCGTGGAATTAGCTTCATTTAGCTAATAAGAACTTGTGAGAGAGCTTGGCCTTTTCCCGATTTTTAAATTTTAGGAATAATGCCTTTTAAGTTGTGGGGTTGAAGACAGACCATGTACGTGAAGCCCTTAGCTCTGGTTTTACAAATCATATTCGTGATTACGCAGCTTTCTCACATTAATACTCAGGCGTGTCCTCGCCGTTTTCTTCTCACATCTCTGAGAGAGATGCCTAGTAGGTAAGAGGTTACTCATTTCACAAGAACGTTATGCAGTGTTAGCTGGGATCGATTTCTTTATTCTGTATTACGAAGTGCTGACAATATTTTGTCCCCCCCGCTTATTTATTTATTTGCCATTTTTAGGGACAGCTGTTTTCTAGACCTGGAGAAATGCAAAGTCCTCTCTCTTTAAGACAAATGAGGTGAGAAATGGATACCTGTAAAGATCTCCAAACTTCCTTTATTTTATCAAAAGAAGACCAGCTAGAATTAGTACCCTGGGGGCATTGATTAACCATCTCCATTAAAAGTGCCTTTGTCAAGCGAATTGTGGAGCAGAGGAGAACGGATATCCTCTTTTATTCCTTAGGCTTTACAAGTTATGAGTATAGAGGTTTTCCGTGTATTTGTTAATTTTGGACTTTAGCCCTTGGAATAATGGTTTTGGTTAATTAAAGACAGCAAATTGAGAGACGTTGAAATTAATTATGGAATATCAAGTTGTTTTTAATTTATGTGGTTGCACATTTGTTTTTAATAACTGGTTGCAAAATAACATTTATTAAATAATATCACAGAATTTCAGAAACAGTACATAGACCCCTTTAAACTCTCAGAGATAACAGTCATCAACCTCCCCCCCTCCCTGTATATATTAACGTCTTCCGCCTTTATATAAGTGATATTTTTTATCCATACAGTTATGCAGTTTGCCCCTTAGAATATCTTGGATATCTTTCTATTGTGTTAGTTATGCCTTTTTTTTTTTTTTTTTTAAGAAAACTGGGTTGTGTAGTATTATGTTACATAGATATATCACTATTAACCATTCTACTGTTGGTGGCCATTTGGGCTTCTTTTTTGCTATAGCAAACAATGTTAGGATGGTCATCTTTTTTAATAACAAATGTGTTTTGTCCTTTCCTTTGGATAATCTTAATGCAGTGAAAATACTGGGTTAAAGGATATGGTGGATGGTGCCAAATTCCTTTCTAGCAGTGGTATTTGCAGAGAATTTCCTGCATTTCCTCACATGCTCACCAGCAGTTGATAATAGGTGTCATTGTTTTCAGTCTTAGCTGAGACCACTCATACCATTTTTTTCAGTCAATATATTATATTTATAGTATTGTAATCAAATCCAAATTTTAGTTGTCAGTTCTAAGTCCAGTTCGGTTCTTTTTTAAAATTTATAAATAGAATATTATTTGTAGATTCTTTAGTAATAAGTTATTAGAAAACAAATGATTCACTTAAGCAGTAAGTTTTTGTTTAACAAGTTAAAGATTTGTGGGAGCTAGTATTTGAATGAAACCTTATACTATGGATAGATATTAGGAGAACGGACCTTTTTTTTCTATTTTTTAAAATTTTATTGGGGCGCCTGGGTGGCGCAGTCGGTTAAGCGTCCGACTTCAGCCAGGTCACGATCTCGTGGTCCGTGAGTTCGAGCCCCGCGTCGGGCTCTGGGCTGATGGCTCAGAGCCTGGAGCCTGTTTCCGATTCTGTGTCTCCCTCTCTCTCTGCCCCGCCCCCGTTCATGCTTTGTCTCTCTCTGTTCCAAAAATAAATAAAAAACGTTGAAAAAAAAATTTAAAATTTTATTTAATTTTTAAAATTTATATCCACGTTAGTTAGCATACAGTGCAACGATTTCACGAGTAGATTCCTTAATACCCCTTACCCATTTACCCCATCCCCCCTCCTACAGCCCCTCCAGTAACCCTCTGTTTGTTCTCCATATTGAAGAGGCTCTTGTGTTTTGTCCTCCTCCCTGTTTTTATATTATTTTTGCATCCTTTCTCTTGTGTTCATCTGTTCTGTGTCTTAAAGTCCTCATATGAGTGAAGTCATATGATAGTTGCTTTTCTGTGACTAATTTCGCTTAGCATAATACCCTCTAGTTCTACCCATGTAGTTGCACATGGCAAGATTTCACTCTTTTTGATTGCTGAGTAATACTCCATCTTCTTTATCCATTCATCCGTCGATGGACATTTCTTTCCATACTTTGGCTATTGTTGATAGTGTTGCTATAAACATTGGGGTGCATGTGCCCCTTTGAAACAGCATACCTGTATCCCTTGGATAAATACCTAGTAGTGCAATTGCTGGGTCATAGAGTAGTTCTATTTTTAATTTTTGAGGAACCTCCATGCTGTTTTCCAGAGTGGCTGCACCAGTTTGCATTCCCACCAGCAGTGCAGAAGAGATCCTCTTTCTCCACATCCTTGCCAACATCTGTTGTTGCCTGAGTTGTTAATGTTAGCCAGAGAATGGGCCTTTCTGAAAGAAAAGCTTCCACAAAGGCAGGGAGACAAGAATGGGGAAGAATGTTTAGGATTTGAAGTTTGAGAGGCGATAGTGCCTGTTGTGGGGTTGTAGAATAGAACAGACAGCTAGAAAGGTAGTTGCAACTCTGTGGTGAGGTTTTTATTATTTTTTTAAATTTTTATTTATTTTTGAGAGAGAGAACATGGGGGAAGGGCAGAGAGAGAGGGGGAGACAGGATCTAAAGTGGCCTCTGCGCTGAATGTGGAGAGTCCAATGCAGGGCTTGAACTCACCAATTGTGAGATCATGACCTGAGCCTAAGTCATATGCTCAACCAAGTGAGCTACTCAGACGCCCTGTGCGGTGAGAGTTTTGAAGGTCAGTCTGAAGATTTGTGCTCTCTAGGAGAGAACTGTAGAGGCCTTTAATCAGGGAATAGGGTATGTAATCACTTTTTTGTTTGACAAGTATACTATGGTGGTATTTTTGCATGACTGATGTTCGAGAAGCAAGTTATGTGGCTGTTATAGTCTGGGTGGGAAAGAATAGCAAAGTGTAGAGATACTAAAGAAGATACTGAGGAAGCTGAATCTACATGATTCAGTGACTGGGGGTTGAGGAAGAGGAAGAAAGCAATCACTTTTAGATTTTTATCACGAGTGACAGGATAGTGGTAGTGATTTCATTAATCAGAAGAGGGCTAGTTTGGGGGCTGGGAAAGATGTTCAGTTTAGTTTTAGACATGTTAATTCCTGTGAAAGACATTTCTATGGAGAGCGAATTATACACAAGATGTAAAATTCACCTTCACAGATTCAGTAGAAACCTTAGTAGATTTGTGACTCCTTTGTTAAGAAATTTGGCATATATTTTCACTGTTAGTTTTTCATTAGTACAGTTACTCGTGAACTTTCTGTGGCTTGCTCAGCCTGTTTGTCATGGTGCTAATCATTTCAAGAGTTTATTGTTTAGATGGTCGTCTTCAGATTTTTGATTGTATACACTCTCAGTAAAAAAGGTTTATACATGTGTACTTCCAATGTATGTATATTTACTAATTATACACATTTTACCATACTGTTATATATATAATATATATATATACATATATATATTATATATATATAGTGGAATTTTTTAAAGGCAAAGCCAAATATAAATTGGAGTTTTACTCTTTTCTTCCTGTATCCCATTTGATCATCTTGGACCCCTCATTCCAAAACACAGATCTTATCTACTACTGTCTGTTCCGAACCATTATCCAGTGGAGGGCACCCTTAAGCATCTGAAAGAGAGAACAGATTGTTGAACTGTGCGAGTAGAGCCTTCATTCTTTAGTTAGAAGGAGGATCTTGTTTTTGAGTTTCTAAATTCATGCATTTTTGGAAGAGTCTGTAGTTAAAGAGTAGTATGTGGTATTATGGAGAAGAAAAGAATAGTGAACTCAAAGCATAGGGCAATCTAAAATACGCTGTTGTTGGGGCACCTGGGTGGCGTAGTTGGTTAAGCATCTGACTCTTGATTTTGGCTCAGGTCATGATCTCACAGTTTGTGAATTCAAGCCCCATGTCAGGCTCCTTGCTGACAGTGTCGGGCCTGCTTGGGATTCTCTGTCTCTGTCTCTCTGCCTCTCTTTCTCTCTCAAAAATAAATAAATATTCACATTGTTTGATGTTTATTATATGAGTGTCCTTCATTTTTGTTTGAATGTTATTTGCTTCTATAGTTTGGGAATCTTTTTCCAATTCTTTGAGCATCTGTAGAATCTTGTGAATACAGGAGTGTTCCCTGCCTGTAGACATAATCTTAAATTCTTGTTAAATTGGTATAATTAAAAGGGTAGACACAGAAAACCTTTTTTAAAAACATTTTTAAATGTTTATTTAATATTTTTGAGAGAGAGAGAGAAAGAGAGAGACAGAGGACAAGCAGGGGAGGGGCAGGGAGAGAGGGAGACACAGAACCTGAAGCAGGCTCCAGGCTCTGAACTGTCAGCAGAGACCGACGCGGGGCTTGAACCCATGAACCACAGATCATGACCTGAGCTGAAGTTGGACACTCCACCAACTGAGCCACCCAGGTGCCCCGAGGCTTTCTTTGATACTGACTTTGAAAGCAGTATCTCTGAAGCCCAGAGATATTAGTGGTGGTTGGAACCATCTGTCTCTGTTTTTTATTTTATGTTTAATTAGGAGAGGTAAGAAAGGAAATGCCTCCTTTAAGTGATAAGAGCCCATTGTTACTAATTAGAAATTAAGAATTAAGTTTGTCACAGCTATATAGTCTAAAAAGGAAAAAGTAGCCATGCCTGGGTGGCTCAGTTGGTTAAACGTCTGAGTCTCGATTTCGGCTCAGCTTATGCTCATGGTTTGTGAGATTGAGCCCTGTATCAGGCTCTGTGCTGACAGTGCAGATCCTGCTTGGGATTCTCTCTCTCCTTCTCTCTATGCCCCTCCCCTACTCATGCACTCTCTCTCTCTCTCTCTCTCTCTCTCTCTCTCTCTCTGTCTGTCTCTCTCAAAATAAATAAACTAAATTAAGAGAAAGTACAATTTAAAAAATATGTTATGACTCAGACCATAATTAGCTTAAGAACATAAGTCATCTGACAAATTGAATAACAGAAGAAAATTTTTCTGTTGCTTTCCTGATAAAATATTTCCTATAAATGGAAATACTCATTTTAGTAGGCACCTATGGTTATTATATATAAATTCGTAATTTTGTGCCCCATTTCTAAATGATTAGGAAAGTTTTGGTCATTTGCCTGAAGTTATGTGTTGTGAAACAGATGCAGAGAGACCTGGGTTCATCTTTTATAATGTAGGGTGGGGGAAGATGGTAAGAGTAACTTTTCAATGTTTATGTGCTCTCAGCACAGTTCCACATACGGTGGACTATGTGGATTAAATAGCCCAAGTAGATCGTTTTGAAGATAAAAATTGGTTTGGAGTAGTTGGGTTACAACCAAGGGGGCAATAGGGTAAACTGAAGGAGATTGAGATTGGGAACTGTTGACCAGAGGTCCATATAAAGCTAAGAATTAAGACTAATGATAGCATGGGTTTAAAGAGAACCCTGAATCTAGAAAAAGATGTTTAAGGTGGAAATTAGTCTGAAGAGTTGGTTTTCAGGGCTATATTTAGAGTTTGTGGAACCAGGAAGAGAGAACAGGGGCAAAGAAGTCTGGTATCTATGGGCAGAGGCAAGCCAAAAATCTGGGAAGTTGAAAGACAAGGCAGAATTGAAAGCGTTGGATAGTAGGAATAAACCAAAGTTTGAAAACCAGGATAAAGCAGAGGTAGAGAGGGGCAACTGTTTTTGGGTAGCAAACGTAGACAAGGCCAAATATAAAGAGCAAGACAAAGGCAGGAATAATTCTGGGGCAATGATGATATTATACTTCTTTTCTTCACATTAAGAATGGAAACAGTTCCAGGCCCACAGATAATCAGAAGCAGTGACCTAGAGAGTGGGAATGGTAACACCAGGAAAGCTGGAGCTACAGATATTTTTTAGAGAAAAGACCATGGTGCTTATAGGATCATAATATGGGTTTTAAGCTAGTTAACACATGCATTTGTATAATATTGTGTATGTTGTTTTATACAGCATTCCAAAAGGTTTGGGATATCTGACCATTATGGCACCAAGAAACTTCTTGTGTATGAGAGGTAACTTTCTCTTTGGTTCAAGAGGTTGGATGATCCGGTTTCCTGCAAAAATCCTCTTTAAATTAGTTTCGTTTAGGCTTTACAGCGTGAAGTGTGGTAATACAGACAGTGAGTCTTCAGAGAATGAAGAACTACTGAATAACCTACTTAAAATGGGAGTAGATGTTGACATGGCGAAAAAAAGACAGCCTGGAGTTTTTAATAGGATGGGAACTAAAGAGCAAGACCTGAAGATGTTCCTTCTATCCAAAGGAGCTAGCAAAGAAGTGATTGCTAGCATTATATCAAGATACCCACGAGCCATTACACGCACACCTGAAAGTCTTTCAGAACGGTGGGATCTGTGGAGAAGAATTATGACATCAGACCTTGAAATTATAAACATCTTGGAACGTTCTCCTGAATCTTTTTTTCGGTCCAGAAACAACCTAAACTTAGAAAATAATATCAAGTTCCTCTACTCAGTTGGATTGACCCATAAATGCCTTTGTCGATTGTTGACCAATGCCCCACGTACCTTCTCCAATAGTCTAGATCTGAATAAACAGATGATTGAACTTTTGCAAGAAGTCTGTTTGTCACTGGGTCACAATGAGCCCAGAGATTTTGTTGGGAAGATAATTTTTAAAAACCCTTTCATTTTAATTCAGAGTACCAAACGGGTGAAAACTAACATTGAGTTTTTACAGTCAACTTTCAACTTGAACAATGAGCAGCTGCTCATTCTGCTGTGTGGTCCAGGAGCTAAAATTCTAGACCTTTCCAATGACTATGTCAGCAGAAACTACACAAATATCAAGGAGAAGCTGTTTTCTCTTGGGTGTACTGAAGAAGAGGTGCACAGGTTTATCTTAAGCTATCCAGATGTGGTCTTCTTGGGAGAGAAAAAGTTTAATGATAAAATAGACTGCCTCATAGAAGAAAAAATTAGCGTATCACAAATAATTGAAAATCCTCGGATTTTGGATTCAAGCATAAGTACTTTAAAAAGTCGAATCAAAGAATTGGTAAATGCTGGCTATAATTTCAGTACATCAAACATCACTCTTTTATCTTGGAGTCAAAAAAGATATAAAGCTAAATTGAAAAAGTTAAACACTGAACAGAACATTGTTCTGGGGAATTAAAAAGTATCTTATAATGTAATGATACCTCATTTTGAATTTGGGCCTTTCAAAAAGGAGAGGTTTGGTTTCTTAACTGTATATACTGTATAATCTGCAAAAATTGATGCTAATGATCCTTTGGATATTTTACTGTAAAGGTTTGTAAAAACTCATGGTCAGGATGCTCCAGTATAGTTTTTCCAGTTATCTTTTCTCTAGTTTGAATTAATACAACATCCAATTATATGATACAGGCTGTGACTGTCCTGTGAATGGTAGTTTCCTGAGTGCAGGACAGAACAATATGTGGAAAGATAAAAAGTACAAAATAAGCTTTTGGTTCCTATTCAGATTAAAAAATTAACAGAGTCATTTGGATAGTTCTATTTCGTATCAGGGTTTTGAATGGCAACTGATTTCTCCTGTTCCCACATATCTAATTGTGGCTCATCTTCAAAATACAATGCCAGTAAAAATCTGACAAACCAGAAAGGAGGGGTTTTTATCTCAAGTTCTACATTCTCCAATTAAACCATTAGTATGTTCCCCCTACCCCCCCCCCAACTTAGGCTCAGTTTACTATGGGTATATCCTGATTTTCTTTGAAGAAAATGGCAACTATGATGGGCAGAAAAATGGCCACCCAAAGATGTCAGTGTCATAATTCCCAGAATCTGAATGTGTTATGTTACACTGGAAAAGGACTTTGCAGATGTAATTAAGTTACGGACCTTAAGACAGGGAGATTATCCCAGATTATCTGTGTGGGCCCAATGTAATCATATGGGTCCTTCAAAATGGAAGAGGGATGTAATAGAGGAGGTCAGAGTAATATGATGTAAGGACTTGACCCTCTATACTGGCTTTGAAGGAGGAAGGGACCATGAGCCAAGGAATGCAGGTGGCCTCAAAGAAAATGGAAAAGGCAAGGAAACATTCTCCCCTAGTGCTGCTAGAAAGGGACACAGCCCTGCTGGGACCTTAAATTTAGCACACTGAGACATGTGTCAAACTTCTGACATTCAGAACTGTAATATAATCATTTTGTGTTGTTTTAAGCCACTGAGTGTGTGTCTGTTGTTACAGCATCAAATAGATGAATATAGGAACTAAATGATAATTAGTTGCATTATAGGTGAAGAAGTCACAAAATATGGTTCTTTTAGCATATCTGTGTTTCTTTCTCTTGTAATTAACTTTTTTTTTATCCACATACCTTTTTGGAATGATGACTAAGTTACTGTTTGTGAAGACCTATAAATGTATAAAAAACTAAATGTAAGTAATAAAGTCTAAATAAAGAAATATTTTTACCTGATAATGTAGTTTAAAGAAATGGTTATAGTTTCTATATATTTATGTTTTATGGGAATTTCATATAATATAAATAAAGAACAAGGGATTTTTAGATGCACTGACTTAAAAAATGACAAACCAGGTAATGACTTGAAGACATTCGCAGTCTAGCTCTGATTTGAACTGAAAGGGACAAATTATATGACCTTAGCTACTTTCCACTGTTTTCCAGAGGCATTTGTTTTCTAGATATGGATTTTGAATTAAATAACAATGGTGCTAAACCTCTTAAACCTTATTTCCTATCAGTGATATCTCCAAAAAATCTTTCATGACATGGATAGAAACATAATGCCTGTGGCCTTTTTCAAGGCCATTTTATGTCAATGATAGTCTTATAGTTATTTCCAATGCACTATTTGATGGCAAGTATGGCATGGTTAAGAAAACATAGGCTTTAGAGAGATACTTATTTAGAGTGATATATCTGGGCATCATTCCTGACCAGCTCTGCACCTTTGTGTAAATATTTTAACTTCACTGAACTTGTTTTCTCAGCTGTAAGATTAAAAATTGGCCTCACAGATGGCAAAAATCAGATGATATAGAGTCTCTAAGTCTTTTGCAGATGGTAACTGTCCAATGATAGCTGTAATACAGTTATAATAATATTTTTTAAAATAGATTTATGGATAAATAATTCACATAACTCACCAACTTAAATTATACAGTTCAATATTTTTTATACTCCTAGAGCTGTATAATCATCACAATGTAATTTTAGGATATGTTTATGCCCCCTAAAAGAAACCCTTTGCCTATTAGCAGTAAATTCCCATTGTCCCCTCCCTTTCCTGGCCCTAAACAACCAATGATCTACTCTCTGTCTCTCTAAATTTGTTTATTCTGTAATTTCATATAAATGGAATCATATAATATGTGGTCTTTTGTGACTGGCTTCTTTCACTTAGCATCATGTTTTCAAGTTTGGTCCATGTAGCACATATCAGTATTTTATTACTTTTTATTCCCCAATAATATTCCATTGTATAGGTATAATAGTATTATTGGGAGTAAATATTATTGTTAACAAGGCATTGGTTCCCTACATCTTCTGAATTTTATGAAGTATTTTCTGCGGCATTGCTTTGGAATTTAGCAATAAGGAACCTGAGGGACGTGGGTGGCAGAAGAGATAAAACATTATTGGCATCAAAACTGGACGGCTCCATGCAGAAGAATGAAACTGGGCCACTTTCTTACACCATGTACAAAAATAAACTCAAAATGGGTTAAAGACCTAAATGTGAGACCTAAAACCATAACTCTTGGAAGAAAACATAGGCAGTAATCTCTTGGGCATCAGCCTCAACAATATATTTATGGATATATCTCCTCAGGCAAGGAAGACAAAAGCAAAAATAAGCTATTGGGACTACACCCGAATAAAAAGGTTTTGTACAGCAAATGAAACTTGCAAGAAAACAAAAAGGCAACCTAGTGAATGGGAGAGATATTTGCAAATGATACATCTGCTAAGGCATTAATATCCAAAATATATAAAGAACTTATACAACTTAACAACAACAAAAAAAATCAAACAATCTGAAAAATAGGCAGACTGGGGCGCCTGGGTGGCTCAGTCAGTTAAGCGTCTGACTGGATTTCATCTCAGGTTATGATCTCATGGTTTGTGAGATCAAGCCCCATGTCGGGCTGTGCTCTGACAGCCTGGAGCCTCCTTGGGATTTTCCCTCTCCCTCTCTCTTTGCCCTCCCCCTACTCTCTCTCTCTCTCTCTCTAAATAAACTTAAAAAAAAATGGGCAAACTATCTGAATAGACATTTTTCCAGAGAAGACATACAGATGGCCAACAGATACATGAAGATACTCAACATCACTAACAAGGAAATACAAATTAAAACCACAATGAGATATCCCCTCACGCCAGTCAGAATGGCTAGCGTCCATGTGTTGGTGAGGATATGGAGAAAAGGGAGCCATTAATGCACTGTTGGTGGGAATATAAATTGGTGTGACCACTGTAGAAAACAGTATGGAGGTTCCTCAGAAAATTAAACATAGAAATACCATATGATCCAGTAATTCCACTACTAGGATCAGCATATATGAAATAAATGATACCTGCATGTTGAGTTGGTGTGGGTGGGGGAAGCAAGCATAATTTTAAGTGTTAAGCTTTACATCCAAAAATTATTAAAAATCCCTTCTCCAGTATTTGCTGTATTCTCTTTATGGCTAATGTAAATAAAATATAAAGGAGCATTAAAAAAAAAGGAGGGGATCCTAGGCCTATATAGAGAGGATATATATATCATATATGTTGATCCTCAACTGGCCATGATGATTATACCTGGGATGGCAATGGGTGATATAACAGCAACAGTTTTGGCCAGGGAGAAATGTGGGATGCGCAGCAGTACAACACAGCACATCTCTGGGAAGCTGGGAGGGACAACCTCTTTGTAACAACAAATGGATAATGCCTGTCAGGCAAGATTAGGATGTCATACTTTATGTATGTATACCTTCTTTTAGAAACTTCTAAATTATAAAAATTATGCTTTTTAAAATTATAAAATTTTACATTTTAAACAAAATTTTAATATTTTTTTCATGAGTAAAAATAAAATCTATGTTTATAATGGGAAAAATGGAAAATAAATGAAATACAAAAAAGAAAAACTATAGTTTTACTTTTCAGAGATAATTGATTAGCATTTGGGGACTTCTGCTTTTTTTGTTTTTTGTTTTTTGCAGAATATATCGTACATGGATGTAATATGAGTAGGTATGTGGCATATATAAATTGAGATCAAACTTTGTATTTTATAAGTTGCTTTTTAAAAAACCTGATAGATCCTGAACATACTATTTTTTTAGTAATCATTTAATTACAGAATCAATTAAGTATTCACCTGTAACACAATTTTTAACATTTGCATGAAATTCTGTCATTTGGATGAGGCAGAATTTCTCTAGTCAGTCCCCCTCTATTAAACAGAGTGAGTAAATTTTAGTACATTACTAATTTTTTGAAAAATCCTACCTACATTAGTTCGGTATTTCATAGTGTTATACATAATATCATTTTTTCACCATTGGTATACTTTATAAGTTGAAATTTCACTGTAGAAAATGTGAACATTAAAAATGCTGCATTTTGCTGTTCTCCAAATGTCAGATGTATCTGCAAAAACTTAATTTTTTAAATGGAAATTATTACATTTTAAATGGCATAAACTTGAGGACTTTCAAATAACTGCAAGAATTAGGACAATATCAAAGATTAAAGAAAAAATTAGTTTCTTCATCATGAACTTAGCAGGAAGGAATAAAAGAATGAGTAGCATTTATAAGAGTTTATTGGGTTATTAAACCAATCATTTCTCTCCTTAAATCATATAATTTCTAAGGCCTGGGTAGGAACATGGTCTGTGACTAAAGATCCAATAAACTTGACTATTGGCTCCTTCCCTGTGGACTGTAATACTCTACACATTACACTGGAAGTATGATTTAGTGGAGATCTCTTGATGGCAGAACTCTAGCCACAGACTTTAATAATAGGCAGTTATCCAATGCAGGAAGAGCTTGGCATAATCAAGGTAGGATAGCAGGACTGTTATTAGAGAGATTTTGGGAAGAGATCATAGCAGAAGCCTGGTTGCCCAACATTGGGGAGGTTGAGCTGTGAATTATAG